TTTTCCAGCCTGTGTAATGTAACATTATTTAATGAAATAAATAACTGTATTTATTTTATTTTTTTAATTCAAAATTTATTATCAATAAATATATTATTACAAAATTACTTTTATTAAAATTAATAAAAATTTATTTTGTTTAAACATTTTTTCTTTAAAAAAAAAAAATATATTTATTTATTTTTAATTTATTTTGTTTGATTTCTTTAAAATAAAAATATATTGTATTTTGGAATATAATTTTAATAACGAATTAAGTTCAATCATGTTTTAAAAACTTACTAAGTTGCATTTAGATAATACAATTTTCTGGGCTAGAAATATCTTATCATGACCAACTTCCATAGATAAGTTTGGTCGGTTCAGGAATACGCCATCTACACCTGTTAAGATATCATCGATATTTTCCAATCCGATGCTATTGTCGATTTTTACATACAAGTTGATATCTCCACCTTGCTCTATACCTTTAAAAACCAAATAAACACATGTGGAATTATATTAAGGAAAAACATTTCCATGAAAGCTCGGGGGAACCATCAATAGATTGTGATGGAATGTGAACAAATGAAGTATGACTAGTGCGGATATAAATCGAAAAACAAGGCTACATTGAACCGGCGAAATACTGAAACGAACACAATTGTAATTATTAAACTAGACACAAAAGAGAATAAATAGAAGAACAAAGACGTTTACTGATTGCAAATATTTCATGCTCGATTTACCTACAAACTTGCGGACGTGGTCGAAAAACACTGAGTTCCTGACACCAGGCACTAATATTACGTCCACTTTGAGCTGGATCCCTGTGCGAATTTTTTCCTCGTCTAGTTTGGAGAGTGATGTTGAGCCAACTGGAATTCCTGGCACGTGCACTATTTTTTCAGAACCCAAAAATTCTCCTCGTTTTATGACGCAATATATCTCATCTTCGTCTGCATTGAAGAAAAAAATAATGTTATTAACTTTACTCCCAAGAAAACATCACGTTCGCTGTCATAGTTATTAAATAAAATGACAAATACGTGCTTACCGACTCTGATTACGGCTAGTTCGATTTTTCCGTAGTCCAAATAAATTCTATCGTTAATTTTTAGTCGAAGAATTACGTCACTGTTCACATAAATACGATCCTCTGTGCATTTAAATTTGTACTCAATATCGTTAGTGACGTAAACATGAGCATTTGTCGATAATTCTATCAAACGTTGTGTGCTCTGATTTAGTAAAATTACCCATTTTATCAAATTATTAGATAATTATTAATAATTCATCATTTTGGAAATAATATATTTTATGGTTTCACACTTAGTATAAATTATTGTTTAATTAATTCATTATTCTTTCCAACTATGAAAACGCGCTACTTCAATAATTTATTTTTTAAATCATAAATCTATCAATTATTATTTTATATTGAAATGTATTACTTTTGTATCGAATACTGTTCCAGTCGTAATGATAGATCCACCAAGATCAAGTACTAAAGTCATTGAATATGGTACTCGGTTGTTTTTTTTTAAGACTATAATTAAAAACTCCTTGGCGAATTTCAAAGACCATTTTTCGACTCTGTTCAAATGATAAATCGTTAAAATCAAATATTACCACTGATGCCCCACTTTCACAAAATTCTTCTATTAAACTTCTAGTTACATTAAATTCTAAAATAGTAATATCAAAATAAATATTTATGAACACAGAGTTATAACTATTTTATGTTTATTTAATATATATGTATAGTATATACGCACGGATACCACAAGCAATAGTAGTTAACGTATTTTTTGATGGATTTGATTCAATTTTTAAATTACTCATATGGTCAAGATAGTTATCCTCAAAAGATGCTTTCATTTGCATTTCATTGTCATGACAAAGTTCCTTTACACATACATTTATTTTATTAGAACTATAAAACTTATAATTTATTAAATTCATATATGTTCTTACCCAAGGGTACACAACACATGGTACTTCAGAGTTGGATATAATTGTAGAATCCATTTTATCGCTATATTTTCAAAATTATTTATGGTATAAAATAAACATTAAATTAATTTAATTTAAAAATATTTAAATTAACAATGATTGCCCTAACAAAAGTGTGTTTAATAAACGTTTCCTAAGAAATCGATGATAGCATAATAATAATAATAATAAACACCACATGTTACGATGTCAAGGTAATAATATTAACAGAGATTACAACGATATTTGAAGAAATATTTTTCACTAAAATAAACGTATATTATTGTATGATTTATTATTTTAATATGCAAAGTAACGCAATTAATTTTAAAAAAATTGATGAAATATTAAATTATAAAGGTAAAAATAAAAAAAAAATTATAGATGCAAAACTAAATAGTCAAAGAAAGAACCGTATAACTCAAAACAATAAACGGCAAGAACTACTCAGAACAATAGTGGATAAATACCACAAAAAACTGGATAAAATACATCAAGATAATACTACAAATAATAAAAAAAAGTTGGAAACCAACCATCAAAAAGCAAAACAAATGCAACAAAAATTACAAAATCACAAAACACTTGAATGTCGTGAAAATGCAAAAACATTAAATTTTATAAAAGATAAAGAGATAAAATCACAAAAATTATTGGCCGAAAGAAAATATCTAACGTTCTTAGAAAAGCGAAAAAAAGATAGTGAACGTTATAACAATAAAGTTGAGTATCAAAAAATAACATTAGTAAAAAATCAACAATTAATCGAAAAATGTTTAGAAAATAAAATAATTGATGATTTTGAAAATAAAAACCAAGAATTATTGTCCACAGAATACGAAGATGAAATTAATGATGAGCCAACGGAAGAAACAATTACAGAAGAAGAGTGTATTATAGATTCTGATCAATCGGTTAGGTTAATAAATTATTTCTTGTTAACCTGGCTAAATTATACATGTTCTACATAATATAGGTATAGTTTGCTAAAATTTAGAATTTTTTTTATTTTAGAAATTAGAAATGATACATAATCAAGCAAATTTGGATAATATTCAAGTGTATTTAAAAAGAATTGCTATGTTAAAAAAAAACTTTCATAGTTGTGAAACTGGAAGATATTTTTTACAGAAGATTGGACCCATTTGGGATTCACTTACACAATGTTTTTATAGAAAATCATTAATCCTCAAGGATATGGTTAATAACTCAGACAATATGATGCCCAATGATTTCAGAAAAATTTACGAAAATACAAATCTTTATAATGGCAAGAATGTGACTAAACGTTCCTTGGGCTTAAATGCATCCTTTTTGGAAATCTTTATAACTGGTTTGTAATTTTAAAAAACAAAATAATATAAAAATTAGATATATTTTTATGAAATTTAAACTTTAATAACGCATTTCACTTTATTCCCCAAGCTTTATAGATATAATTTTTTCCTATTAAATCTTTAGTAAGATTGTACATCTTACATAGAAATTTACAAAAAATAAATATTTTATCAGCTATTTTATAAAGTTATACATAATACAAATTATATAAATCTTAAAATTATTGAATAATAGAATTATTAGTTATTATATATCGATTTTTAATTTATGATAAAAGAAAAATGTTTAGACATTTTTACGAATTTATAATGAGTTATATAACTTATAGATTTGGACTACGAACTCAGTGATGAAGATGTAAATAATGCATTAACTAAAGCTAAAAGCCTTATTGATAAATCAACGACCGCATTTGATATAATGAATTTAGTTAAGTTTATACTAGAACATGAAATAGACATTAATGAGAATGTTTTGTATATTGTTAATGGTATATGCAGAAGAACAGTTATTGAATATACAAAAAGACGAATAAGTTGTAAGCCAACAACATAAATTCTCTATTTAATCATATATATATAAAGACAATTTTTATTTCATAGACCGAATGCTAGGTCGTTCGAAAAATACAATTAACAGGCTTCGATTTTTAAATACGAAAAATTTAATACCAAAACGATATTTAATAACAAAAAACAATGAAAATTACGTGAAACCAATAGTTTTTGACTTTTTAACGAATGATGTTAAGTATGGCTATTTAACTTTGGAAGAGACGATTACAGAACAAAACATGTATCCAAATAATGCACAAAAAAGAATGGAAGCATTTTGGCAAAATTTGAATTTTTGCTATAATATAAACATTTCTACTACATATTATGAAAACGTAATGGATAATATTTTCAAGATGCCAGAAAAATATTGTCTTGAAAATGTAATTTTAAGATTACTAACTTAAACAAAGATACTAAATTAATATATTTTATTATTTGTGTAGCATGTCGATATCCAAGTCGATAGATTGATGATATTTGCTTACAAACAACTAGCATCTATTTTGTCAGGGAAATTGAATACACCCTTCTATCATAACATAATGAATATCGAAGAATTGACTTACACAAAATTTAATATACTTGCTAGAAAGATGACAAAAATGGTGTTTGGAATGGGTGGATCTTACGAAGAAAAGATTTATGTTTTGGAAGTTATCATGAAATATATTGTCAGTGAGATCATAAAAAGGTCACCAAAAGTATTGTACAAGTATGAAAATAAACATAAAACCATTTCCAAGAATATGAAAATTGATATGTCTTTTTTTTATCAAAACCATAAAAATATTTAAAAGCTTTAATAATTTATTTTTAATACACTATTATATTGTAACTGTTAATATCTTAACGGATTTTAAAAATTGAGAAAAAGCTACAATTAAGTCTCCAAGTTATTATTTTTAAAATGCTAAAATATTCTAATGTGCATGCCTCATGCATAACTTCATACTATTATCATTATATGACATATTGTTTATATAAAACGTGGTTATAGTAACAGAATAATATATTAATTAAATAAATGTACAAATTGTATGCAATTTGTTTAGTTATTTAATACACACTTACTCTAACGAATTTTTTTAAAGTAGAACTTAAAAGAAATTTAATTTCTATATTTATCTCATTATGAATAAACATAAAAAAACTGAGCTCAGTGCTTTAGCAGCCCAAAAAAAGATAACCGACCAAATAGCTAATGATGTACGTTGTATTGATATGTGCAAAATGGGTCAAAATGCGTTAAATATATCATTGTATAGGCGTATGCATTTGGAGTCAGAGGAGGAAGAAATGTTTACAAATATACAAAAAGTGAAGAACTTATAAAAAACTAATAAACGCGTCGTCGAATTAAGTTTTATATTTTTAGGCAAAAGAAGCTCAGGCCAGACAAATTGCTGAGTTAGAACAAGAACAAAAACTTGCTCAAGTGATGGCAGATTTAAAACGCCGGGAGATAGTCGAAATAAAAACCAAGTTGCTTAATATTTTTAAATCTTGTTAATTTAAATTTAAAAAAAACTCACTGTTTGGTGTTACTTCTTATAGTCAATTACTTCAAAACAATTCATACGAACTTCGACATACCGAGAAGCAATTACGAACGGCTTATGCAAAAAAAGATTTATTAAGTCAAATCAAAGAAAAAGAGGCTTTAATAAAAGAAGAGAAGGTAAGAATATATAATGATGATCTAAAAATAATAGAAACTAGAAATTACGAAAATGAAGAGGAAATAGAACTACAAACCCGACAAAATAAACTCAAGTTAGATTATAAAAAAGCAATCATAGAGCAAATACAGGAAAACGCCGCAGAAAAACAACGAATGTCATCATTAAAGAATCAACCTTTTACTTTCTATGAAGCAACTGGAAATAGTGGAGTAAAAAAATGTAATGTTAAAACTAATTGTTCTCAAAAACAACTGGAAGTATTTGAAAAAATGGAAAATGAGTTAAAGGAAATTGAACGCAATGAAGCTGATAATAGTAATAAGTGAGTACATAAATTTTGGAAACAAATCAAATTATCGTGCATAATATTGTACTGCATTTTAATATTATTAATACATAGATGTATAAAGGAATATTTCATAAAAATTTCTAAACGAGATAAGCAACAGGAAGAATTTAAAAACCAGAAGAAAGCAAAAAATGAAAGAATCTATAAATGCTTAGTTGATAATTTAACATCCTTAACGGTAAATTTAATTCAAGTAGTGAATTAAAATTAATTATGAAATTATACTGTGATTACTAAATAATAAACTAATTTTCGCACTTATAAATAAATAATTGTTTACAGTCAAATACAATGAAAAACAAAGAAATGCAAATCAATCTAGTAAACGAACAACAGCGAAATGCTGCTTGGTTGGCAGAGAAAAAGGAAAAAGAATTAAAAAATGTACAACGGGACATCATGCTGCAACAAAATGAAATGCAATTAAACATTAAAAAAGAAGAGGAAAAAGCAGAAAAAGAAAAGGATAATGTTCTTGTCAAAACAGTAATAAATTAAAAAATAATTTATTCATGCTTTTAAAAACCTCAAAATATTTAAAATTTCATAGTTATTGCAAAATTTTCAAAAGTTTAATGAGATAGAGGAAAAAAAAAAAGTTGAGCGACGACAAAAGATGCTCAATTATGGAAAAGAGTTAAGAATGTCGATTGACCTGAAAACCGATTTGAGGCAAAAGCAGAAAAATGTTGTAATGAACGAATTTTCGGAGGCTAATAAATTGGAAGAGCAAAGGTAACTTCTTAAAGGTAATATTTAGTTAAATCGTTTAACTATAGGGACATATAGTAATAATTTATAGTAAAACAACTTCAATATTAGCGATCAATTACAAATTTAATAGTTTTCATTAATATATATAATATTAGCTTTTAACGATGAAGACTAAAATAAATGTATAAATATATTTTAATGGAAGGAAAGAAGTAAACCGATGATGACATTTTTTAATAGAGAGTTTTGAAAATTAGTTTTAATATTAATGTAATAATATTTTATGGTTTTTCTTTAGAATGTTTATAATTTGTATTATAATTTGAATTAATGTGTTCTTTATATATTATTTAACTATCTGAATTATAAACTACGTGCATTTATTGGAAATAGGACAATTAAATTATAATAACTATTAGTGAAACAAATATTGAATGATTAAATTATTTTTGTGGTAAAGTAAAAACTTTTGTTTGACACAAATATTACATATACCTATATAGTACATAGTTTCATCACGCTAGTTGAAAAGTTTTTACTGCGTAAATAACCAAAACAACTTTTCACGCACAACTTACAAAGTTCTTAAAACCATTTGTTATCCGAGAGTTATAATTTTTTGTTTATATTGTTCGTACTATATAGAATGGCTAAAATGAAAAAGGAACAAACAACTATTGTAAAACAACATATGGAAAATCTCGAAGGATTTTTCCCACCAACGGCAAGAGATCAATATAATGTGAAATAAGAACGTCTAATATTTTATAATAGTATCTACATATACTATTTAGCTGTAATTTATAATACTAACAATACCAATAATAAAATACGTATGTTTTCAATGTAATCGAAAATATCATCATTTGTTTTCATGTTTGTTTTAACGGGTTTTTATAGAAAAAAGTTAATATGTATATTATTTTAACATAATTACTGTAAAGATTATACTTTTTATTTATACACTATAGATTCTTAAGAGGGCGTTTAAAACGTATTTATATGACAGACGTATACAACTGTTAGATTTCAATTTATATTTTCAGCCAAATGTTATTTCATGAACAAACTTATATCATCTGAACAAGACAGCTTTAGCTGGATATACGACTAGTTGATTTTTTTTACGTTTAAAAAATAAATACATATCTAACATAACTTAATAGTATAGGTAATGAATTTAATAAACTAGAACTGCATGATAGTTTAATATACGTAATATGTGTGTGTATAGTGTATAGTACGAGTATGTTTGTATTGAAGGAATGTTGGTAACACTATCGTCACCGATGGGAGAGAAGGAAAATTGTTTTTAAACGAAAAAGAAAAACGTCAAGAATCCCAATGTTGCTGCAATAACGTTCTTCAGCGGAAACCAATTTAAATGTAAATTATTATTTTACAAAGCTACTCCGACGTGTTTTTATTTTCAAGTCAGCAAGATAATTATCGTTTAAATATATAGGTAAGAGCACTAAAAAAAAAAATCATATAAACGACATGTGTATAGTAATATATGCCACCGCGTGTATATACAGTGACAAGTCGACTGCTGTGCGCAGGTAAACGAACCGTACACGCTACCGGTGTACGTACGCGCCCTGCTGAGAATCCTCAGCCCTGTTTTTGTATTAAAAATAAAATTGAATTCTCTGGGACACGCGTGTTTTGATCCGAAATCTTTAACGTCACCCACACTCTTGTGCGCTAGACCTGGGAACGGCCGTGTAGCGTTTCAATGATGTGCATGTGTTATTGTTAATGTTTTGTGCATGTGTTGTATAGCTGCAGAATTTTAAAGATAAACCCTTTGTGGGACCATGATAATAGTAATAACATACCCTTGGCAATAATATTCAGAAAAATATTATACGTACTAGGTAACCGGGCCATTTTACCACACACGAAGACTAAGTTTATAATATGCTGCAAAAACGTCTCAGTAACGTATATTATATTATATTTTGAATGTAGTGCGAAGCTTCAACGTATCAATAAGATTGTTTCTAATGCTACAAAAAAAAAAAAAAAAATTGATGAAACATTATATATAAATATACAGTTTAAGTGTTTATAGCTGATGGTTTAATCTTAATTTGTATACTAAACATCTGTGAGTAGATACTCAATAGAATTGAACATGAATGATAGTCAAACAAATATTTTTTATAAATATAAATTGATCGTAATAATTTGTTTATTAAATAACCATATTATTATTATTATTTTACATTAAACTTCTCTTTATGCTAACGGTGAAATCGATACAGAAATATTATCCGAATAAAAGAATTTTGATTTACTTGTTGCCTATAGACATAAGACAGGTACAAAACATTTGATCTATTTTAATATTCTAATTAAGTGTCTTATATCAGTACTCATATCTGGACACTGTTTCAAGTTATTTTTAGTTGAAAATAATTCAAATATTGTAAAAGTTAGGTTCAAATTTTGGTATAATTTTAGAACAGAGGAAAGTTCATGGAAAACTGATAATTTAAGTTAGGTAGTTAAATTAAGTAAAAATTAAGTGATGCAGTATTGGAAAAAAAATATAGCTTTAATTAAAAATATTGTTATTTTATTTTTATTACAAATTTAAGTACTTAAATAAATTAAAAACAAAAACTGTTGCTAATTTTTACTTAAAGAAAAAAAATATAGTATAACTAAGAATACATAAGTAGTGTATGTAACAATAATTGAGTTGTTAGTTTTTACCAACAAATTTTAGATGATCAAGTTTCATTCGAAAATAATTATAGTTGAGTTAAAAAGTGTATAAAAATAAATTATGCGATTATCATATGATACGCTGATACGCTGATTTATTTGAATATTATATTTCGATATAATATATATATATATATAATATGTATATATTATATATAATATGTATATACTAATACCTAAAAGCAATTTTGTAGTTTTTCCTAGTGTGTAAACATAAACGTGTACATAACGGCCGAAGCCATAAAAATTATAAGTAAGACCAACAAAACTGTGATTATACTTAAATTAAATTTTTTTTAGTCGCGTGCATATACATATAATATCATACTCAACAATCCACGGATTACAATTTATAAATATTGATTCTTAACTATAAATCATGACGTTATTACTAGATAAATGAGAAAAATGATTTGCTAATACATTATAATAAGATAAATATAAAAGAATATATTTAGCATTAAATTGTCTCTAAAATTATTGTTACGAACATAATGTAAAGTGTAATGTTTGTTTTCTCTACTTGGTAAATAATAATGATAAAATAAATACAAAACTAATCGTTTAGATATTTAATAGATGTTTTAAAAAATATATAAATCTGCAATATAATAATATATTTTACCCATCTTTATATATACCCAATCAGACTGTAATATCATACATAAATATTGTATTATGTATTCCAGGGACGGCCAAACTTTTTTTTGGGCACGATCTACTAAAAATATACTTTACCTTAGAAGATCAACTTTGATAAAAAGTTTTTTTATTATTAAGTTATTATACTACCATAATTAATTTTTAAGTGCATAGCTTAAAAATAAATTCTAACACGACCTACTTTGAAATCGTTTGCGATCAACCGGACGATCGTGATGGACTGTTTGGCCGCCTCTGGTGTATTCTATACGAATGTGAACTCGAAGTTAACGATTGCTCAAAACGCTAATGTTAGCAGCCACAATATTGTATAATGTATATTGTTGGGTAGAAACGATATTAAACAAGATCACTTGTAACAACGAAACGATCCAAATATGATTTATACATTGGTAGAATACCACTCACGAAATAGTCAAAAGTTTATAAAAAATTATAAGTTAAAATTATTAAATTATTTATTATTTTATTTTTAATCATAATCTGAGCTATTCATTCATAATAAATATCATACAAATAGTAAAAAGTAAAATATAAATACAAAGAGAGACAGTTTACAGTTAGGTCGAGAAAATTAATTTTCAAATTATTATTATCGTGCGTATTGATTATGCTACCAACGCATTAACGATGCTGAAAAGTAGTAAGTGTGTACCAAGTAGTATACGGAGTATAATATTTACATTTTATAACATATTATATTAAAAATATTTTGCTGAAACTCAGATTAACAGCAGAGAACACGTTTTGTTTGTTTTTTTTTTTTTTTTGTGATGATTAAACCCAGACACCTTATGGCTTTTAATATTAAAAAATACTTAAGATATATTATGCGGTAGTATCTGTACAATCAAAAAACTATTCGAGCTTGAAAATGAGGCGTTAACATTAAAACACGTAAATAAAGTATAATATTATTTTCTAATATATTATATACCAACTTACACGATGGTCATGTTATAGTATAATAAAAATTATATAACATTGTTTTTTAAAATCCGATACCCGTGACATGTGTAACAACACATAATTATAATAAACAATATCATACACATGTTTATATAAATATTCATAATGAAGTATATACGCGCACACGCGCGTGAGTATATGTATATAGCCAACCACTTCAAACAGTCGCGGCGTTTGGTAGTTTCATAAATATAATACGTATATTATATTATATACATTTTATGTGCGGCATCATTGTCGTATCATATTTTTGAAATGCGCCCGCACAGCATGGCATTATATTATATGACAGCTCGTGTGAAGGCTCGTTTGTGACGCTCCGAGTATCCTATATAGGTATTTAATATAATATTATATAGGTATATGTATTACGTTGCATAAGGACAAGAAGACTTAGCCTCACGATGTTGTATCTATAAATTACGTATTTACCAGCCGCAACACCACTTGTTGCGGCGACGACAAGGTTTCTAATATCAAAAAAATTAATATCGATTAATGTCCCTTAGAGTTGGCAATTATAGACTTTTGTAATGTATCTAATCTGACCAAAGTCTAAAGAATATTTTTTAAATATTTTATTATGATATGCACCATATCATATCGCCATGTCTTAGCGATATACCTATTACATTGACTATTGCGGTTTTAATTAGATTTTAATAATCTATATTATAAACACTTCTTGCTGGTACAGTAAATTATGTGTTATACAACAATAAATATGATTTTAATAGTAGACATCCCATTATACGAGATATCTATAAATACATCATAGGTGTCTTATGAGTGATGTGAATCTTACCTAATTGATACTCTACTGCCATTGCGCTCCAAACGAATGTGTTTTGTCAAACCGTAACTAATGAGATTTACTATCAAAATAAAGTATAGTATAAGATCTTTTTCGTTGAACGCTTGTACTGCAATGCGCTTACACGCAGAAATAATGAAATAGTGTGAAAACGGTTTGGATTGAGCGGACGATTCAGAGAAAACGATCGGTGGTCCATTCAGGTTAACCAACAGAAAATACTGTGGTATAAATAAAATAGAACTTAATATAAACTATGTGGGCCGCGATCACCTTAATTGTGGTATAAAGCTTGCAGCCCTGACCGTGGTATAAATTTGAAAACAATTGTCTACGCTGAATACAGTAAACGCATACGTACACATACGCGAGCAGATAAACTTGATATATTTTGTCATTATTGGCCAGTGTAGGTCATTCGGTTTTTTAAAAACACGATTTTTCTTATTTTAACCCTCTTAAGTAGTGCCGTTAGATTTTTAAATTAAACTGATCAAACCATTTAAGAAGTCATGTTCCATGATTACATGCATGGTAGCAGCTTATAACGCGTTGAAATTCTAGCAGAA